GCTCCAGGTAAAGGCCCGAGTGGGGAAACAAAAGGAGCCTGGGCTCATATCCCACCCGCACACAATCTTGGGCAAGGCTTTCCGGAGCGGCGAAGGCCAAGTCTCTTGTGTGTAGAAGGTGTGATGATCACGATTAACCTTCCCCTCAACCTTAAGAAGAATTACACACAGGAAGGCACTTGCTCTGGCCAGTACACAACGCACACAGGCGTGGTACCTTGCTGTATGTTCTGTGCTGTAATGAGGCGTATGCAAATCACCCAGACTTCACAGAGGACGGGGAAAGGAAGAATACCCTAGAGTGGAACTCTCCTCGCAACAGAAAGAAACAAACCACTCCCGGCACACAACTTGAATGCATCCCGAGGGAATTTCGCTGACGGAAAAACATCAGTCTCCAAGGCTATTCTATACTGTATGATTTCATTTCTAAAACATCCTCGAAATGACAAAATTATAGGGATGGAGAACAGATTAGTGGTTGCCAGGGACTGGGGCGGGGGAAGGAGGTGGCTATCGCATAAGGAGTTTCCTTTCGTGGACAGAATAGTTCTTGTCCTGACTGTGGTGATGGTCACCAGAGACTACACAAGCAATGCGATTTCAGAGATCCGTGCACGTGCGAGTGAGCATGCTCACACACGAGTGCCTGTTAGAGGTCATGGCCTACCAGCACCAGTTCCCTGGTTCCTACAGTGTGCTCAGAAGATGGGAGATAAGATCATCGTAGGAAACTGGGTGAAGGGTACACAAGAGTTCTTCGTGCTATTTTTACAACTTTTGGGGAGTCTGACACTATTGAAAAACAAAAATTAATAATGAAAAAAATTTAAAAACCACAAGGGGGCTCATTATTTCAAGAAACCCAGTAGCAATCAGCTTATAATGCCAATAATTGTGTGCTCATTTCTCTTGGTTTGGATACAGTGCACATAAATGAGTGTCTCTCTCCAGTAGAAAGACACACCCTTTACCTGTGTCTCATGCCTGGCACGGGCATACCACGCTCTGAAATACTATTTTATCATTACATGAGTATCTGTCTGTGTTGGCAGCTCCCTGCCCGTCTCATTGTCTTCCCTGGTCCTCAGAAAATCGGATAGCTCGGCAGACCTGCAGCACCCACTGGAGTCACTAATACATAAATGAGTGTACAGTAAGTGTTTATTGATTTTCAGAACGATTTTGCAGGATAAAGAAAAAAACTTCAGCTACAAAAGACCTCAAAATCCATCGATTTCCAAGTTTCTTTTTTAAGCCACCAAAGGCCTCCCTCTTTCGTTTAATTTTAGAAACAGAGATCTTATGCTTTGAGACATTTCATACATCAAACACATCGTACTTACTACTATTTCTGAAGCATGGAAATGTATTTGTCAAGACTTTCCATAATCATAAAACCGGGGTTCCTGACAGTATGGGGTGACTGGGGCAGAGTGAGTTGGGGTACTTTGTCTAAAGCAAGCACACCTGGATATTTTAGTTGGCTCTCATGCTGTTTGGGTGGAGTAACCACGATGGCTAATAGATTTTTTAAGTCTTTTTTTTTTTTTTTAAATCCTCATCTGAGGATATTTTTTTCCCATTGATTTCTGGAGAGAGCGGAAGAGAGGGAGGATGGGGAGAGAGAAAGAAACATCGACATGAGAGAGACATGAACTGGTTGCCTCCCGCATGCACCCCTACTGGGGATGGAAAACCTGCAATACAGGTACATGCCCTTGACCAGGAATCGAACCCACGACCCTTCAGTCCTCAGGCTGACACTCTAATCACTGAGCAAATTAGCCAAGGCTTTTTTGAAGCATTAAAGTCAACCCGAGTACCCCACATTCCTTCTGTTGACCCCAGGTTGGAAACCATCTTACCTGCTCCTAATGTCCAAATGATGGCTCAGGTCTCTGTAAATGAGTATTGACAGGAAAACCAACCTTTCTATGCAATCCCCAAGCTACACAATTCTCTAAAGGAGAAGAAGGGAGAGAGGAAAAACCCTCGTCTACCCTTAAAAATAAAGGTACCATTTCAAGCTGCTTCAAGACCCAACAAGCATGTTTTTCTTTCACTTATTTCTACATCAACACTCTGAAGGATAAAGATCTTTCTCATTTCAAGAGCTGTCAATTTGCTTTAGTGCTATGTTTTTCATCTGTTTGCGGTAAAGAGGAATTACAAAGCAGGCAAATGAAATAATGCACTGCAATCTAACATATTTTGGCAATTCAAATTGGGGCCAGGGAGAAAGGAAATTAAACAAGGATGACGGGCTACAAAGCACACCTGCGTTGCAACCCACGGGCCCGCCCCTGCCTTCCTGCCACTCGCTAACTTTATGATTTGATGAAGTTTTCAGTTCTTCGCTGAAAAGTGCATTATTTGCTGCACCCTAATTTTTAGAAATCATTTATACAAGTTGCAAAACTCATACAATATTTTGCTTTCTGAAGCAGAAAAACTTCTAAGCTGCTGGTGAACTGTCAGGCGTTGTTACTTTAAATACCCCTGTGAAACAGCGCAGAAGCCAGCAGCCCTTTTCCGTAGATTCATTACTACCCCTCTCTATATAAATTAACAAAGACAAATGCTCGCCACACACCAGACTGTGAGAAGTCCTTACCCCATATCAAACCTAAGGGTTCCATGACAACAGAACTCAAATAACAGGGGGCCTCACTCTCCTCCTCTCAGGGGTCCTCCTCTGCCAGTGATGGTGCTCATGAAGATGTTGGCCTAATTCATTTCCATTTCTTTTTGTTTTTAATTAAACTGCCCCTCAACTACACAGATCAGTTATGTTTTTTTCCTCTTTAGTTCCAGGGCTGGGATTTCTGAGAGAATGACAACATTTCTAGGGCCAAGATGCCCCGACAGACCTCAGGTGCTATGTGGCACACAGGTATCTGACCTTGGCCATCAGTGGTGAACCATAAGGAGTTGGCCAGAGGTTGGGGAGCCCAGGAAACAAGGCCCCTTTGATATGCTAGATTAAGGAGGATCCCCCTCCCCAGGACCTCCCTGGCCCCTAACCGCTGCCACCAGCAATCTGAAGTGTGAGAGTGGGCCTGTGCGCAGTACTATTTTGCAGAATCCTGTAGGGGGCGGCTATAGGGTTAAACCTAGGACTGACCTGTGGCTCAGCCACATACAGGTCCCAGCTTGGAGGGCAGAGCCCTCCTAGCACAATTAAGCTTGACCTTATAGTCCTCCCTTGTTCCTACCGTGTTTCCCCGAAAATAAGACATCCTCCGAAAATAAGACCTAGCGCATGGAAAGATAAGACATCCTCTGAAAATAAGACCTAGAGCAACTTTGGGAGAAAAAATTAATATAAGACACCGTCTTATTTTCGGGGAAACAGGGTAGGTAGCTAATGCTCTTAGGTAGTTAAAGGTGTAGCAAGTGCTGCCAAAACAAGGCTTGAGTAACAAAATAGATTTGAAACTTGCAAGAACATTGTAAACAGGTTGACCACTCCCCTTGCTTTGCTTTGTGTGGTCTGACTATAAAATAAAGCTCCCATTTATAGGCTGGGTCACTGTTTCCTCATCCAGGCAGTGATCCACCTGGTCCCAACAGTATTCTTTCATCTGTCTTATTTAATCCTTCACCGCCCCTCCTCAGGTTCACTCCTGGCCGTGGTTCAGAATCCCATCTGCTTGTGGACACTATCCTCCTGCCAACAGCACATGTGTAACACTCAGTGTTTGCCGGGACAGGGATCCCAGCTCTGCTCATGAAACAGCTCAGCGGAACTGAAGAGTGGGAAAGCGCTCGAGACAGACTCCGGCTCTACCACTCACTAGCTGTGCAACCTTAGGCAGGTTACACAGCCTCTCTGTGCCTCCGTTACTTCGCCTCTAAGTTAGTACTGATTTCATAGTGCTGTTATAAGCATTCAAAAGTTAATTCATGTGCAGCATTCTGGCACACACGAAGAGCTAAATAGCTGTCATCCATTATTATCATCACCTCAGTGAGCTGGTCAGGAGAAATGCCTAACGTTGTTCATTGTACCCGAGGCTCTGCCTGTTTCCACTGTTAGCTTGTTGGCGCCAAGTGAAATTAAAGCTGGGGGAGAGGCCGGCTTGACCTGAGCAAGAAGTACCAGGATGAAAGGATGTGCTTGAGCTGGCCACCTTCCCTAACATCACACGAGCATGGAAAGCCAGTGAGAGGGACAGGCAGGCAGGCTTGTGCTAGAAGGGGTGGCTCCTGCTGCTTGCAATCAAGTCTTCACTACTCTTTTGCTTCTGAGTTCTGTGGTGAGGAGATAAACTCAGAGCTTCTGACCCTTTGGACTTAAATCTGCAGTCCAATGCTAGGGACAGTCCTTCAGGGCCATCCTACACAGAAGGATTCAGTCTATCCCTGACGAGGCTGCGTTAGCCAGACAGCAAGAGAATCAGGGCCTAATCTTCCACCCTAGGCCAGTTACAGCCCTACCAACGGGGCTGGATGATCTCCTTTGCTTTAGCAAATGGGCAGGCCCTGGCTTAGAAAGAAATAACGTTGTCCCAGGCAAAATTCTGTCATCCATTCATTTTAAAAAATAACTCTAACCACCCATATTTACTAAATGTCTATCCTATGAGGGACAAGGATTCTAAAATGAGGAAGGCTTGGTTCCTGCCCACGAAGCCCCGGGGGACAGACAGGACCACCTCATCGTATGTGACAGGTTCTCCGAGAGGTGTAGCCCCCTGCAGCGCACACACAGACATTCTGGAGTCTTTCATCACTCATTCATGCCCTCTGGGCTCTGAAAACTCACAGCAAAAATAACACTAATTTTTCCAAAGGAAACAGATGATTTGTCATGGATGTCACCCCAGACCTAGAGCAACAGGTCTGCGGTGATACCTAAGCCAAGGGAGCAGGGCCGCCATCGGTGAGGGGCTGGCCCATGGGAGCCACAGAAGGGCTGGGTCTCCATCCTGAGCATGTGGTCTGGGTTTTCAGAAAGGATCTGAAGGGCCAAGATGTGGAAGCCACACAAGCAGCTCATCAACAGATGAGTGGATAAAAAAGCTGTGGTGCATTTACATAAAGGAATACTACTCGGCCGTAAAAAAGAAGCAAGTCTTACCTTTCAAGACAGCATGGCTAGACCTAGAGAGTGTTATTGCTAAGTGAAATAAGGCAGTCAGAGAAAGACAAATACCTCATGATTTTACTTATATGTGGAATCTAAAGAACAAAATAAACAAACAAACAATAAAAACAGTCTCATAGCTACAGAGAACAGACTGACAGCTGGCACAGGGAAGGGGGGTTGTGGGGCTGGGTGAAGGAATTAGAATACGAATCGGTAGTTACAGAATAGTCACAGAGATGTAAAAGTGCAACATGGGGAACATTGCCAGTAATATTGTAATAACTACATACGGGGCCAGCTGGGTACCTGAAATATCGGGGAACCACTGACTGCTCCGCCTCAAGAACACAGCTCCTTCAGCACCCAGCAGGCCAGGTGCAGGCCTTTCTCCCAGAACAGCAGCCGCGCCCTGGTCTCCCACGTTCTCCACCCCTCCCTGGTGCTGCTGGGCTCATTAGCATATCTGCAGGAGTTGCACTCTTGTTTCCCATGGCAGCAAACCTTTCCATTCCTATTGAGGACCCTGAACTTCACCCTTAGAGGGATTTTCCATTCATCGCTTCAAAATAAGGGTTCCACTTTATTAGGCATTCATGGAGCAAATGGGTTGATTTTTCTGGGGCAGGATGAGGAAGGATAGGCTGTCTGTGCAGATATCTCCATTTCTGTGCACCCGGGGAGCGGGGGGTGACTGGGGGGTCCATACAGGCAGGGGCAGCAGTGCCATACATACAGGTGACGGGCAGTGCCATAGAGTGTGACCCAATCAATGTCTGCAGGTGGTGGTGGACTTCTGATCAATGCAAAACTGTGTGCCCAACAGGGGGATAGGGTGCGAGGATGCAGGAGGGTCCAGGCGCTCCCAAATACAGTCACTGCTAACCTGCAGCAGGACCTAAAAGGTCAATTCCTGCTACCCATGTGCCCAGAGCTAGCTCATCACTAACTCATAAATGACCCCGGCCCTTATTGTGCGTCTGCTGGCTTGTTTGATGCCTAATGCACAGCAAGGATTAAATAAAACACAACCTCTATCTTGTTGCTTGACAAACGCACACACCAGGATGGATACCAAACGGTCACTGTCCCCTTCCAAGCACTTCCATGAAAGGCCCTGTCGTTACCGACTACGACTTCAAATGTGTTTTTATTAGAATTGGGGGGGCGGGGGGGGGGGCGGGATTCCCTTCTAGTCAGTTCCCAAGTCAGGCAAGACAACTAGTCTTATTATTTTATAGTCCTACTGCATTCTGGTCCAAAAACAGCATAATCAATCTTGGCCACAAGTCACTTGGAACTAAGTCCAGTGATGGTTTCCAAAAATCACATCCACTTTCAAAGGCCAAAGATTTATCACCAGCGAGGATATTCAGAAGAAAATGCCAGAGTTTGACTATGAGTTCACAGGGAAAGCTTTGAAAACGCTCAAAGCAAAGGCGAGATCTTTGGAAAAAGTACACAGACTCCCACTTTGAAGAGGACACATTGCATTTGTAGGAAAAAAAAACCCAAAACTCTGGTTTTAATGCTCCTAGTCATTGTGGGGAGTGCACAGGGGAGGGAGAAAGAAAGGCGGAGGGGGGAGGGGAGAGGAAGAGAGACAGAGAAAGCAGAGGGAGACACTCCCCGACAGAGAGAAATACAGACAGACAGGGGAGACAGGCAGAGAGACTAAGAACTGATTCATCATAAAAGAAGCTTGGGGGTGAGATAAAAAGAAGAGCAATAAGAAAGGATTTTGCATAGCCTAATACCAAATGAATTATGGATTCGACTGTAGGAAAACATTCACCATTTCAATGCACCGTATTAGCATCCTCGGGAGGCTGGCGAGGCTGGGCCCGGCCCACACTTGCTTGAAAATCAGTGATCGCCCCTCGCCCCGGCACACACCACTCCATGCGTTTCTTAGCTGTCAGAAATCTGCCTTCCCTTGCCCAGCCCCCTAGGCTGACCCTTGTGTCCCTGAACCCATACGAGGAGGGTAAGGGAAGGTTTTCCATTAGCAGGCATGAAAAACAAGCTCCAGTCTTGCTCAACTCTGATCAGACAGGCTGAACCCCTCCAGATGTGCAGACAGCTGGGGAAAGCATGGCAGAGCCCTCCACCCACACCCCGGGGCCGGGAGAAGACCTCTCCTTGCAGACTGACTGGTCCTCGGGGACAATGCAGTGGCCGCTTGAACTCCCAGGGACCACGGCATTGGGCACAAACCACAAAGAGAGCACCCGCAGCCAAGGAGAGAAGTAAGGCTGGCCCACTCCCGGGGCAGCTGGGAAATAAAAGGGGCCGTGAGCGTCTCTATCGCATCTCTGTGCATACACATTCACAACAGAAAATCACAGACCCCTCTCATCTCCCAAACGAGCCGTAATGACCCCCACAGGTTTCCCCCCAACTCCTCGGGACATTCTGCCTGTGCCAGCCATCACAGGGACGCAGGCGCAGCACCCGCGGAGCGCCTTTCACAGGGAAGGCGCCTGCGTCCCAGAGCTCAGGCCGCGGCTAATTGCCCCAGCAGGTTCTTGCTCTGGACAGGCCCAGGTGAGATGTCTCAAAAGAACACGTCCAGCCTTCCGTCACCGCGGAGGTATCTGAGGCTCGCCCACTGTCCTTTTGTCAATGCCTGCTGGGGACGCGCGAAGATAAGACGAGTATTACGTTATGATGCTTCCTTGTGCAAGAAAGTCCTTTTAAAGAGTCTGGAGGAAGGGAGGGGGCCCGGGCAGGACGCGGAGGAAGCCTGAGGGGGAGGTTTAAAAGAAGGCTGGGTTACTTAGGAAAAGTCTCGGCTGCAGAATAAAACTGTGCTTTACCTGCAAAGGAAAACTCATTGAGTTTCTCTTTGGTTCCAGAGAAAGCTACAGCCACAGAATTCCAGAGAAACTGCTTTTTATTTCCTTATTTGCTCTCATCGTGTCCCCTCCCCTGACATAAAGACACAACCCAAGCCAAGATGCCATCCAACCCAACCCTATCAAAGAAGTATGAACATGGCCTTTACCTTACTTCACTCTGGGGTTTACCTTCCCTGCAAAATAGTCTTACAGTATTTGGGGAACTCTGGCTAGCCATTCTTTTGGAAAGCAAGAACTATCTAGAGAATGAAGGTCAACTCTGTTAATTCAGTCAACAAAATCTGGAAGGCCCCACCTCTTTTTTTATTAAATAGGAAAACATATCCAGGAAAACTCAGAAACTACCCGAATCCCACCTCTGCATCAGGCTCCGTGCACACTCCGCTCCCCGGATTCCTAGGCACTATGTGCTCTGCTCCTCTCAGTGTAACGTTTCCTGGCCCCCTTCCTTCTGCCAACCCGTAAGGCTCCAGTTTGTCACCCCCCTGCACTATCGTCACCCCACCCTCTCTGTCTTTGCTTCTCTCTGTGTAAGAACACAACTCCTGTACCCACCCACCCGCTCTGGGGGATCCTCTCAGGCTGTCCCCAGAGTGCCAGCCTCGCTTCTTTGCCATGGGTTTTCTTGCCACGTGGATGTTCCTCAAAAATCCAATACCTCCTGCCCAGCTAGTGTGGCTCAGTGGTTGAGCATGGACCTATGAACCAGAAGGTCTCGGTTCGATTCCTGGTCGGGGCACATATCGAGGTTGTGGGCTCGATCCCCAGCATGGAACTTGCAGGAAGCAACCGATCAATGATTCTCTCTCATCATGGATGTTTCTCTCTCTCTCCGCCTTCCTTTCTGAAATCAATATATATATATAACCAACACCTCTTAACAAGGACATGCCACCCACTTTCTCCCCCCACGTCCCACAACTCTATTTTCACCAGTGGACCACCACCTTCCATGATCGAAAGCTTTATGCCGTCATAAACCAAAGTCCAAGCTCCCTGTCCCTTTCCACCACTTCTTTGATGTTGCCTCCACCCCACCCTTTCTTAGCTCTTCGACATCCCTGTGAGTTCCAGGCCCTTGTCACTGTAAGTCTGGGCCTGCCACACAATGACCTCATTCCTGTGACCGCTGACACTCTGGCTGTGCTCTCATCTCTCCAACTCAGTGCAGCCTGGATACTTATCCTAAAGGATCCCTTCCTGTGTCCAGTGCCCAAAGGGACATGTCCAAACACTCACAGCCCAATACCAGCTGGCCTCAACCCTACCTTCCAGACTCAGGTCTCTCTGGCCCCCATAGACACACACCCCCGGGTTACCCACTCTCTCCTGAATTCCCTCCAGCCCCTTTGTTTATGGAGACATGGCTTTTTCCACCCTCCACAGTGGGGAGAACAGAATAAAGACCACAAGGAGCTCCAAGAGGAGGTTCCCAGAGGGGCTGGCTCTGGGATGTCCTGAGGCCATGGCGGCTGGACACACAGGCTTGGGGGCTTTCAGCAAGGGGGCCTGAGGGGAGGGGCTTGTGCAGGAAGCGGCAGCGGCAACAGCGCTGGCACCATTATCTTTCTGGCATCATGAAGGAGAAACCAAAGTCTAGGCAATCACAGAGTTTGGAGTCATGGTCAAGAGAAGAGAAACTTTCAATAAAAACCTCTCTCCCCAAACCATGAGCAGCACTTTGTGAACAGAAACTACATCTTAAGTCTTCTCTGCCCGTCACCACCAAGCAAGGACTCAGGATTATTTCTTGACTGACAGATAGATAAAGGACAGCTGTGGAGGTGGAGCAATTACCCGGGGTCTTTCAAGACCTGGACTCGTGCTGATGTGTGGAATGACCTTGAGCTAGCTGACAAATGTACCATGCCTAATCTGTTATAAAAAAGGGCTTTTGAAACATTTATTTAATCCTCAACTGAGGATATGCTTATTGATATATATATATGTGTGTGTGTGTGTGTGTGTATATATATATTTAGAGAAAGGGGACATGGAGAAGGGAGGGAAGAGAGAGAGAGAGAGAAAGAGAGAGACAGAGAGAGAGAGAGACAGAGACAGAGACATTGATGTGAGAGAGAACATCGAATGGTTGCCTTCCATACTCGCCCTGACCAAGAATCGAACCTGCAAACTAGGTATACAGAAAGACACTCCAACCAACTGAGCCACGCCAGCCAAGGCAACATTTTTTTTGTTTTAACATATTCATTACATGAATATAACAAAAACTGCCAATGAGCCTAATAAGAAAATACAAATCACCATTATTAATATTTTGCTGTTTATTTTCGTAGCCAAATATCAACGTGTCTGTGTACAACAACATTTTTA